CTTCCAGCTTTACTGGGCTGCCATCTTGAGTCTGGGCAGGCGTGGCCCCATGTCCTGGAGCCAATCTTCTCCGAGCTCCCACGCAGGCGCTGTAGCTTGGGGGATCTGCCCCCAGTCACATGTTGGTGGGGAAGTTACTTCCATTCCCCTGGCTCAGAGATGATCACAGCTATTTAACATATCTAAGTGACCAGCCAAAGGCTATAGATATGTTAAATGACCACGCCAGGGGGTAGCTGCAAGGCTGTTGCTATGCAAAACAGATCTCAATGGCCTTGCTCCATTTGTCCCTTCCCCCAACCCACACCATGGGGGGGGTGGGTGGAGACATCTTAAAATCTCCTGGACACCTTAAGTTCTGGACCCCATTTCAAATGTCCATTTGGGGTCCCCCTCTTGGCTGCACCCTGTAACAGTTTCCTAATCATGGCTGACCATCAGAATCATCCAGAAATCATAAATAATTTTTGGTTTTGATATGTTCTAATTTCCTCTGGCCATTGTCATAACTACTGACTGATGTTCAGGAATTACTTGCCTGGATGTTCCAAAAGGCCCCTTCCAGCACTAATGCTCTAATGTAAGATAGCCACAAGATAACCTCAAAAAATTAATTGATAGGACTTGGTAAGTAACTGAATGTAAGAACAGAAGGGATGTATTATACTAGATTTTTAAGCTAATTGACCTAGAGTCCCAATTTACACATAACAGGCAACCAATAAATACTTGCTTATTGAATGAAATAGGGGAGCAGGAACAGAGAGCACATCTTGAGAGAAAGGGTAGATTTGATATTGAATATGAGTTTCTCAAATGACACTCTACTAAGTATTTGTCCTTCAGGGTTATGTCAACATAATGCTCTTCTTTCCTGCCTTAAATAGATGTGTGTCCTTGGTGTGGCTGTTTTGGCTTTTATAAGGATTGTCTCTTCTTTGGGTTACAGCACCTAATTTCTCTTAGAATTTCTCTTAATTTCCTCTCCCATTTTATATACTCATAGGGACTATAAATCAGGTCTTGTTCTCTCTTAACGAAGACTCTATGAGACTCTCTTCTATACTTTAAAAACTTGATTAGAATGTCCTAAGAACAGAGAAATCAGTGGAGCTCATCATTCTTGAGTAGTACCAAATTCCTGCTTCCTAGATACCTGGATTACCCTAGTTTCTGTCCTTTTAACTTGGCTTTATTCTCAGACCATCATTACTTCTATGAACTATTCAGTATCCTTCTAATAAATCCTCATTTATTTAATAAGTCATTATCAATTTCTGGTACTTGCCAGACAAACCAAATAACAGAAACTAATACAGAGAGTAAGAGAAGGAGCAAAAGAGAGAGGGAGGGAAATGCAAGCCATATATGTAATTATAAATTTTCTAGCAGTCGTATTAAAAAACAGATGGACTTAATTTCAATGCTAGGCTTTATTTAAGCTATTCCCTCCAAACCATATGTAATTGATATGAAAAAATAAGGTATTTTACTTCTTTTTTTTACTCCAAGTCTTTGAAATGTGGTATGTACGCGTATTTGACACTTACAACCCGTCAACTGAAATGCTAAATTTTCAGTTTAAAGTGAAACGAGTCCTTCCAAAACAATAAAATGGGTTTAAGAGGAAAATAGTTTACACTGCTAGTTTTTAAATTTAACTAAAATTACCAAAGTATTCAGTTTCTCAGTCACATTGGCCATATTTCAAGTGCTTGGCAGCTACATATGACTAGGCCTATGTAAGGGGCTGTACAGCCTTATCTACAGGGTGGGGCAAAAGTAGGCTTACAGTTGTGAGTGTGCAAAAGTTTACCCTTGTATTGGTACTAATTATTGTATTATTGTCCATAAACAACTGTAAACCTTCTTTTGTCCCACCATGTATAAATGGCTACAAGAACAAAGAGTCTCAGGGGATATCTTCTTGATACATCTAGTAGTTGGAAGGAATTAGAGGTTTTCACACTTCCAACAAATTTCATTATGAAAGGATTCAGAATTGTATGAAGACCTATAGAAATATCTCTTCCCCCAAATAATGTATCCTTGCTTGTGTAACTAAAACAGGTTAAACATTCTTAAGTTTGAGATCTTCCCTCTGTATCCCACAATTTAGTAGCATAGAGATCAAAGATCTCTTTCCTGTCAGGGAGTTTAATTTGAAGTTAAAATTACATGATTATGTACACTTAAATCACTTCTCATTAATTACATTTTTAGTATATTTTTTAAGGTTTTATTTATTTATTTTTTAGAGAGAGGGGAAAGGAGGGAGAAAGAGAGGGAGGGTAACATCAATGTGTGGTTGCCTTTCTTGTGCCCCCCTGCCAAGGACCTGGCTGGCCTGCAGCCCAGGCATGTATCTTGACTGGGAAGCGAACCAGCGACCCTTTGGATTGGCACTCAGTCCACTGAGCCACACCAGCCAGGTCTCAATTATCACATTTTGATGGGTGGGAAGAGATTTTAAAGATTAGCTTTAATTGTAAGTAGTTTCACTGTCACAAATGTGGCAGGTTGAAGAATTTGAACTTCATCCCTCAGGTAATAAGTTATTGTACATTTTGGAGTAGAAGAGTGGCAAAATGAACTCTTGTGTCAGGAAAACAAATCAGAATCCAGTGTGCAAATACACTAGTAACAACAGAGATCTGTAGAGATATGGAGCTTCTAGCATCCTTAGCTGGTATATATCTGCTCTTATTTCTGTCAGTAATTATTTTCATCTTACACTGACAAGACAAGCAGTCATCCTGCAAGATCTAGTTCAAAGTCAGCTGTTTGCTGGATGCAGATGTCAGACTGATTCACTTCACCTCTGACCCCACAGGACTTCTTTCTAAATCCTGAACAGAAGTCAAACTCATACAGAAAGTAGAATAGTGGTTGCAGGGGAGGGGGGCGGAATGGGGACTTATTGTTTAATTGGCGCAGTTTCCATTTTACGAGATGAATTGTTCTGGGGATGCATGGAGTGATGGTAGCACAGAACTGAATGATTAGGCCTTTCCCCAGCCTAACTCCTTTCAGATCGCAACCAAAACGTCACATATTTAAGCAATCTTCCTTTTTCCAGGCCACAATGGTTTAGGTACATTTGCTATTCCATGAGCCTCATACTTTTCTTATAGGGCTCTCATTCCACTTGTAATCTACAGCTAATTATGTGGTATTAATTTGCTAGGGCTTCCATAACAAAATAGTATAGACTGAGTGGCTTACACAACAAAACTTTACAAGTATTTTCTCACAGTTCTGGATGTTAGAAGTTCAAGGTCAAGGTATACGCACATTTGGTTTCTCCCAAGGCCTCTCTCCTACCTACTCTGTCCTCACGTGACCGTTCCTCTGTGCATGTGCATTCCTAGTGTCTCCCTGTTTGTCCAAATTTCCTCTTCATGTAAGGATGCCAGTCAGATTGAATTATGACCTACCCTATGGGTCTCACTTCAATTAATCACCTCTTTAAAGACCCTATTTCCAAGTACAGTCATATTCTGAGACAAAATTCTAGTGACTTTGGAGGAACACAATTTAACCCATACCATGTGATTACCTCTGCTGTTCCCACTTGGTAAACTATATGACAACCATCTCGTTCTCCTTTCAGGACCTTTACAGCCGCTATTTCCTCTTTTTAGACCAGTCCACCTCAACTCTTCATACAACAGATTGTTCTTGACTTCCAAGCCTGAGCACTACCACCTCACAAGAACTGTCCCAGACCACCTTATTTAAAGTAACCACAAAAGTCCCTCTGTCACATCATTTTCTTTCTTCCATGGCACACACGAGAACATCAGCTCCAGGGAAAGGTTATGTGTTTTTCCAAACTACTGTAGCCTAGATATTAGCCCAGTGTCTCATGTAGAGTTATGAACGAATGAGTTTCTATAACCACTTACGCCTTATAATGACTTTATTTAATCCATTGGGAAAACCTGCCCAAGAGAGGCCACATTTTTATGAAGCTTTCTGAATCTCAGCTCTAACACTAGCTGTGAGAACTCTGGCAAGTCCCTTAGCCTCTGTGGGCCACAGATTCCCTAACCATATGACAACAATACCTTCTTCAGAGTTCTTATGAAAATTTAAAATAATATACATATGGTACCCAGCACAAGAATTTGGCATATAGTTTAGACTATCAATTGAAATGCTATTAGGTTGGATGTTTTCCAAAGTGTGGCACCTGTGGATGGTGTGAAAAATGCCTATTTAGGTGGTACAGAGCATTAAAGCTATTCTCACTTTGATTTGTCGGATTAAAATAATGTCTTCTCATCATGTCTTAACTACCTCTTGCTATTCTTCCTATTTAACAGAAAGATGACTTAGGTTCAAAGACACACGCAACAGTTAATGTGAATTTAACATTTTCTATTGTATTTTCGAGGCCAGACTGAGTTTAGATCCGCCTCCCTCAGTCTGACTTTGGGCTACTTAAGGAACCTCTCTATACCTCAATTTACTCGAACGCAACGCGGGGATTAAGGACAGTATCACCCCAAAGGGCCTCGTGAATATGAAATGAACTATTACACTTCAAGCGATGCAGAACATAAGAAGGCGACCATCCATGTTAAAAGCCTGTGAAAGAAACTGTCCAGGCGGGATAGTGTGGCAACTGTCTCAAAGGTCTCACCAGGACAACTGAGTCAGCGAGGCGCGGCAGGACGGGGTCTGAGAAGCAGGGCGGCACTCGCCACTTCCAGGCCACTCACTGGCTGGTGCGGGGCCTGAGGAACAAGGCCGAAACCCGCGAGGAACCAGCGCTCGCACTTCGGCTTCTTTGGGGTCTCCCTCAGTCTATTACGACTCTCTCACCCCTGCGTGGGCGGTCGCGCCCTTACCCTGAGCTTTCCGGGATGGTAAGCGCTCCCTAAGCCCACGAGCGAAAACCCCGCGACGTGCAAACGCGAGGCACAGAGGCGGGGCCCGGAGGCGGGGAGACGCGCGGTACGAGCGGCGGCTCGGCAGCTAACGTAGCAGCGCGCATGCGCGGTAGGGCTCGTGTCGGAGAGCGGGACCCGGCGGAAGCTATCATGGCGGCCGAGCGCAAGACTAAATTGTCCAAGAATTTGCTGCGCATGAAGGTGCGGGGTGCGGAAGAGCCAGGATGGGAGGGCAGGACCACTCGGTCCACCTGGCCTGTCCGAGGCCGAAGCAAACGGTGTACCGGGGGCCCATAGGGTCTCCAGCTCGCGTTTATTCATTCACTTAGCGCCTGCTCTGCGTTAGGCACTGTGTATTGGATTAGAAATCCAGAGGATTCTCTCGTAAAGCCTGCGTTCGAGTAAGAGAGACACAGACAACGTAAACAAGTAGTTAGGACACAGCGTACTAAATTCTGTGATGCCTGAAGCCCCGGAACTCACTTGGGCTTCTGTGGAAAATGGTGCTTAAGTAGAGACTGAAGGGTAGGGTGGGGGCATAGCAACAGAAACTGAGTGAAGAGGAAGTTCAGAAGCCTGAGAGGCAAAACCCAAGAAACTTATGGTGAGGTTGAAGAACTAAAGATAATTCAGTATGTCTGGAAGGCGAGTAGCAAGAAATGGGCCTGAAAAAGTAGGCACATTACAGCAGGGAATTTTAGACAAGATTCAGTATTTTTTTCCCTTATCTTGAGAGCTTTGGGTGGGCCCGGGGAACAGTTATCATTAGCAGTGCCTCTTACTGCATCCTGTGGAAAATACTTAATGAAAGCAAGACCCAACAGGGGACAAAGTTTGCAGTCAGAAAGACCATCCAGAAGTTCTGATGTCCTGGGTGAGTGTTGCAGTAGTGATGCCATGGAATTGAAATAGTTGAGGTAGAAAGTGAGTTATGTCAAGCAAAATTATTTTTACATTTTGAATTTAATCAAATAATATCAAAATGTTAAGACAAGGGCAGATAAAATGAATACAGGAATTCAAACGGGAAAGAACCAATCCTTAAAACTTTAATAATAGCCAACATTTACAGTTCTTGCTATGTGCCAGTGTTCTAAGGGCTTTGCATATATCAAGCCAAGAAATGAGGTGGGTGTAGTTATTATCCCTCTCTAACAGTCCAGGCGACTGAAACAGACAAATAAGTGACTTGCCCAAAGTTACTGCTAATAAGCAGTGTAGACAAGACTCAAACCCAGGCAGTCTGGCTCCAAAGCCCCTTTGCTTTTAATTACTACTGGTTGCTGAACACTTATAAATGTAAAGTGTTAGATGTCATGTTTTGAGAGTTTTGAAATTTCCAGGAAAAAGAAGCTAGGCTCAAATAATGTTCTGGAAGACCAAAGAGTATTGCATATGCAGAATGTTTATTGAGTTGAGCTAGGGTATAACTAGGGATGAACAGGGTGAGTGAAAATGGAGGGTAAATCATAGCATAATTTTACAGTTTCTAAAGTACCTCTTTCATGCATATTAGCAAAATTTGAATCTTTACTGAACAGAGTTTTGTCTTGGCTTATGGTTTATAGTCATGTAGATTTCAAAAAAGTGGAGTAGATTAACAGAACAGGCACTGAAAAGATTTTAGCAGTTAATTCTTGGAATAAGTCAAATGAAAATGTGCTTGGAGGTTAGGGCCCAGACCAAAGATCTGATTTGGGAGTTAGGAATGAAGTCATTAACTTTAAAAAATTATTCACCCTTTACCCAAGTGGTTGAGAGAGACTCAGCTAGACATTGGAAGCAAAGTAGGTGGAGGGAAATACCCAGATTCACAATTTGGGTTAATAACTTCATCATTGATCAGAAAGAATGTATTGACAGATACAGTAGAGTGCCTTATGAGAAGGAATGGAGCAACTGCCTGAGGTTACTGTAACCAGTGTAGCTGTTCAGCCAGAGCTAAGTGTGGAGCAAGAATCCTCTGGCTTGGCTCAGCTTTGTGGGGGCTGGAGGTTGGTCCTGATGAAAAGTAGGAAGTGGAGGTTAAAGTTGGAATGCCTGTCAGTATGATGGAATTATTGTGGAGAGGGTATAAGTTTATTTGTACTTTAGCTCTTTTGAATTCTTAAGACAGAAGTTGGTGAACTTTTTCTGTAAAGGGATAGATAAATACTCGAGGTTTGTGGGCCAGTCTACTCATCTTGGCCATTGTACCTCTAAATCAAATGAGCATGGCTTTGTTCCAGTAAAACTTTATTTACAACAGAAATTTAGCCTAAGGACTATATTTTGTAATACCTGCTCTAGGCCCTCAGTTCCAAGTAAAACTGAATCACTAGCTTTAGATTATGTTCTTGGATGCTGTGGAGTCAGAAGAATTAAACTGCTACATAAGTCTGGAGTTGTTTCATTCATAGTCACAGGGTTTTCTACCCTTTCCATATGTACAGAAATATGTGTGTGTATTTTGGTGTATATGTATATGGCTATTTGCATACCATAAAGAATATCTACTTAAAAATAGGGGATAAAAGGGTAATTGGACAGGATTGGTCAGGGTTTGTGGGTTTTTTTAAGATTTTATTTACTTTATTTTTAGAGAGGGGCAGAGAGGGAGAAAAACATCGGTGTGTGGTTGCCTCTCACACAGCCCCACACCGGGGACCCAGCCCACAACCCAAGCATGTGCCCGGACTGGAAATCGAACCAGCAACCCCTTAGTTTTCAGGCCAGCGCTTAGTCCACTGAGCCACACCAGCCAGGGTTTTATCACAAAGAATATGAGTGTTTTATCCACTGAGCCACACCAGCCAGGGTTTTATCACAATGAAATGAGATACTTATGTTGAAAGAGAACCATCCAAGAAAGGAAGTCTGGGGAAATGTCAAGTCTAGAATCATTTACATTCCCAGAACCTTTACTGAATTATTTTCTGTGTACCAGGTACAGCCTAAGTACCAGCAGTATCAGATGAACAAGGAATGTGGTCTACATTCACAATCTTAGTCTTTTAAGAGACATAGAAGAAGTGTAATGAACAATAAACCAGTATTTAGAAGGCTGTTGTAGAAGCAAGGAAGGTTTATCAAATGACTCGGCTCTGGGCTTTCACAAGTGAGTATGTTGTCAGGCAGAAAATGGAAGCATAATGTTGAAGAGCAGAGGCAGGACTGGGAACCACAGGGTGTGCTTTCCAGAAACTGCTGGTTCTTTTCTCTGTTGAGGATATAGGCACAAGTAAAAGGATGAGGACAGACAGAAAAAGAGTGCAAAGCCAGGAAATTGACAGTGATACAATCCACAGAACTTACCCAAATTTCACCACTTTGCTTGCACTCCTTCATACATTTGTGATTGTGTGGCTGTTCCATCACCACAAATTTCCCTCTAGCTACTGCTTTGTAGCCATGCCCACTCCCTTGTGCTATCCCTAACCCCTAGCAACCACTGATCTATTTTTCATTTTTATGATTTTGTTATTTTAAGGACGTTGTATGAATGGAATCATACAATATATAACCTTTGAGATTGGCTTTATTCACTCAGAATAATTCACTTAAGATCCATTTAGCTTGTTGAGTATATGAATACTTTTTTTTTATTGCAAAGTAGCATTCCATGCTGTGGATGTAATACGGCTTATTTTAACCATTCACCTGTTGGAGAGCATTTTGGTTGTTTCCAGTTTCTAGCTATTACAAATAAAGCTGACCTGATTATCTGTGTATAAGTTTTTGAGTAAACGTAAGTTTTTGTTTCTCTGGGATAAATGCCCAAGAGGACAGTTGCTGGGTCATATGAGTAAGTTTGTGTCTAGTTGGGTAAGAAACTATCTAGCTGTTTTCCACAAAGGAGATCTGGTTGCCTTACATCTTGATCATTGGTAAAGGCCTTATGTCTAAAAATTCTGTTTTTGGAAGAGCTGGGGTGGAGGAAAAAGCAATATGGAGCCTGGATAAGGGAAAGAAATGAGGTAAATGGAGACCAGTGGAATCCTGTGCCTAACTGCTGGGTGGTTTCTGAATTTATTTTTTCCTGTATTGATACTTCATCATTTTGCTGTGATTAAGTTCTTGGTTTGTTTGCCTGTCCCCTGGAAATATAGCTATTGATTTTCAGCCTCTCTCTGTTCTACCCTCCCAGCAGCTAATGTCCGAAAGAGACAAGCAGCAAGACTGCTGTTTTCTCTACTGGCCTATTTTGAGTTGAACTCCCACAAATTTTAGAATGAAGAGCAGCCATAGAGTTGATCAGCATTTCAGAGGCTAGATACAAGTGAAAAGCAGGCTTACGGATGTAGCTGTGCTTTCATCTACATTTATAGGGCCCTCAGTCATGAGATGGGATTCCTGGAGAAATGGGGACGAACAAATGGAAGAGTAAAGTTGTTTGAGTTTTCTTTAACTCTAATTTGGGGGAGTTAGTTGCTGACACTGACTATGTTTTGTTTTGACAGTTCATGCAAAGGGGATTGGACTCAGAAACCAAGAAACAACTAGAAGAGGAAGAAAAGAAAATTATTAGTGAAGAGCACTGGTACTTGGATTTGCCAGAGCTTAAAGAAAAAGAGTAAGTTTTATTAGAAATTATATTAATGATGTGTTGGGCATTCAGAGCAAAATCCCTGTAGGTGCAGCTCATCGTTCCAGTGACATAAAGCCCATTAAATAGCATCTGCTCAGTTTCTTGAATTAGTCTTATAAGTAGTTTTCTAAAATTATTAAATATATGAGGTCTACTTGGATATATTTTTACTGGCCGTTCTGCTTTCATTTATAACATTGTTTCCTCTCTCTCTTTCTCTCTTTGCATTACATAAAGGAATCTAGCCCCTATCTCTGGTAGTAACTGGAGACCTTTTATGAGAACTTGTAATGTACTTGCTACCTATTAAATTCCAGAGATTAGGTGTGTTCTTCAGGGCTCTCTAGGTTTAACAGAATTCTTCATTAGACTGAGCTACTCAAAAGCAGGTCAAGAGATGTTTGTTGGTTTCTTTTCCTTTTTTAAAATTTTTACTATTAATACCAATCATTTTAGCTAACATTTTTTGAGTCGATAGTGTGTGCTAGGAACTGGGCTAAGCACTTACATCTTTTAATTATTTAATCCTCATAGCAAACTTGAGAGCTGGCTACTATGTTTTATGCATTTTGTACTTGAGGAAACTGAAGCTTAAGAAAAAAGAACTTGGCTCAGAGTCACCCAGCTAGTCATTGCTAAAGTTGAGATGACACGCCAGACCGTTTCTCTTCCACTCTAGTCTTGTTTGGTACTTGATAAATAATTTTGAATGGAGGAGTGATGGACTCACGTCATTCATTCATTTATCTAAATTCTTCTTGGAAGCTATTTAACCATTTCTCCTTGATGCTTTTCTTACCTTAGCAAGCCTCTCGGCTGGGGTGTCAAGGATTGAAGATGCTGCTTATTATCTTCAGGCACGTTTATGGTTTTTCTTTCTGTACCTTGTAGTTTTTTTTGGTTTGTTTGTTTTTAATATGTTACATTCCCTTATTCATTTAAATGATCTCTCCGGATCTTTTTTGGAAAGTTAGATGCCCTTTTCTAAACATAGAAAATTTGTCCCCTCAGAAGGATAGGAGGAAGGTACTGTGTGTTTTCTCTGCTTGTTTCTCTGTATACTTGCTCTTCTTGACTGCTTCTCAGAGGAAGGAAGATGTTAGTGTGGAAGGGGAAGATAATGCCAGAGGTGGTATGGACTTGGAAGCAGGGGTTATAAGGAGCTGCAATTTAATTTTATGCCTTGACTAAACTTGTACAAAGTATCCAGGATATTTTGTTACTTCTGTTGAAGGGCATGGCCATTTCTATCTTGTTTTCAGTATCCCCTGCCCTCCAACACAGTGTATTATTCCCAGGAAAATGACCTTTAGATTTCCTCCCTAGGAGATAAAGATCTCAGTTGGTTTGAACTACTATAACAAAATGCTACAGACAGGGTAGCTTATACTCAACAGAATTATTTCTCACAGTTTAGAGGCTGGAAGTCTTAAGATCAGAATAGGGGTCCTGCAGTAAGTGAGGTGCTAGCTGCACTAGGGGGCCATTGAGAAGCTAAAGAATGGTGGTTCTCGACGTTTGGGGTTCAAAGATCATTTGCATTTTAAGAAATTATTTAGGACCCATAAACACCTTTTCTTTGTGTGGTTTATATCATGTCAATATTTATGTAAGAAATTAAAACAAGTTTTTTAATATTTAAGAAACAAATGCATGACATATTAGCATAAATAACACATTTTGCATGAAAAAGAACTTTTCCAAGTCAAGAAAATAGTAGTGAGAAGAGTGTGGTGTTTTACATTTTTGCAAATCTCTCTAATGTCTGGCATAATAGAAGACAGCTTGATTCTTTTAACTCCTGCATTCAGCCTGTTGTAGTTTGGTGTTTTGTTTGAAGTACAAAACAAAAGTCCCTATCACACAGATAACGTAGTTCAAAAGGGAGGGCTGTTTTTCAGCTAATTCTCTGCTACTACTCCAAAACTTAGTAAGTGGTAGTTTCTTAAAAGTTAACTGCACTGTTGATTCTGAAAACATCTTTGAACCTTTCATGATCATTGACCTATCTTACATTTTTAATAGATCTTTTGTCAATGCATAATTTCATAACATGCGTTTCTCATTTAGACTATATTAGTTTAATGAGTTACATAGATTTTCTAAACAACTCATTTTATTGTATAGTATCAAAAATCACAGTATCACCCTGGGTTCCATCAGAAAAGTCTTTAAGTATTGAGAAGCTGTCAAGCCATTCAGAGTTCTAATTTTTGCTTGAAAGCTTGAATTTTGTTATTAGCAGTAAGTATTGTCAGTTGTTTTCCTTGAGGTGACATATTTACTTTATTTTCAAGAAAATGTCTGCTAAGTGCTCAAGTCTGAATAACCACAGTTATAGTGTACCAAGAAAAAAGTACCTAGTTCAACGCACAACTCTATCACACAAGTGCATTTTCTTAAGACAGTCATATTTCACTGGGAAGAAGTACCTTATATATGCTTCTGATTTTGTATAGAGGAATTTTTTTAAAGTGTAATCAAAGGCTGAGATCAATAACAATAAATTTTTAGTGCTTCATCTAGAACATAATTATTGGCTTTTATTTTAACTGTGAAAGCTGGTGATGAACAATGTAATGACTGCTAGTACGGTGTGGTATCAGTACTTTAATTCATAATAAGATGTGATTTTACCCATAACTGCTTTTGTACACACTGTGCAAATAAATGTCAAATGTGAAAAAGATGAATAACATCTTAGGCTTATCAGGGAAATAATTTTTACCACCAACCATATTTACCTTCTTTCACTCCTTTCAAGTCCTAGAGGCCTCTTGACTGTTTCTCAGGCAGGCCATTTACATTCCCCTCGCAAGGCCTTCACTGTATCTAGTCCCTCACAGGGGGACCAGGTATCCTCACATCTTGTCCCTCAGTGTCGTCTGGACTTTGCTCAATGTCACCCCGTGCAAGACGCCTACCCATGAAATAACCAAAGACAAATTCTTCATATAAAAAGAATTTGGATGAACTGAATAGAATTCTGTTTTCACGTCTCTTAGGTAAAGATAGAATTGCTGGATCATAAGAGCGGCATGTATTTAACATAAGAGAAGCTGTCAGATAAAAGTGATTACTCCATTTCACACTTTCACTAAGGTAGTTTAAGAGTTGTAGTTGTTCCATACCCTTAACCACTATATGGTGTTATCTTTTAAATTTTATCTATTTAGTATTCTAGTGGTATCTCGGTTTTCAATTAGCATTTTCCTGGTGACTACTAACGTTAAAGAATGCTTATGTGTTTATTGGCCATTTCCATATCTACCTTTGTGAAGTACCTATTCAAATCTTTCATCCATTTTTTTTAAAGAGGTGGTTTTGTTTTGTTTTAACATTTGCATCACATATTTTTCCTCTATAAATCTGTCGATTTATTTTGTTTTTTATGTATTTCACAGTAAATAGCAGACAGTACATTTTATTCCTTGAGTTCAATGTTTACATAGGGTTTTCTCTTTTTAAGGTAGAATTAATTTACTTCTGTACAGATAGGAGTTCTTTATATTCTGAAAACAAATTCTTTGCCAGATATAATATGTATTGTGAATATTTTCTCCCAGTCTGTGGCTTGCCTATTTATATTCTTACTCTTACCTTTTGATGAATGTTTTTTATTAATTTTGCTTCATTTTTTTTTTAGATACCCAGTGGTCCCAGTACCACTTATTGAAAATACTTTCCTTTACTCATTTTATTGTTTTGATGCTCTAGTCAAAAAGTAGTATGCTGCCTTAGTGTGGGTCTATTTCTGGACTTTAGTCTGTTACATTGATATATTTTGCTATCCTGTTGTCTTGATTACTACAGATTGCAGTGAGTCTTGATCCAATAGTGTACATTTTTCACTTTTTTTTCAAGATTGTTTTGCCAGCCTATGTCCTTTTTTTCCCCATATAAATGTTAGAACTAAATTGTTTATTTCATCCCTTCCCCCAAAATAGGACTTCGATTGGCTTTGCACTGAATCTGTAGATCAGTTTGGGGCTAACAAAACTGTTTTCTAACCCATAAACGTGATATATCCATTTATTTAACTATAATTTAATTTCTCTCAGCAGTGGTTTATAGTTTTTGGTGTGGAGATTCTCTGTAAATATACCCCTAAATGTATTCCTACATATTTCATATTTTTTAAATCCTATTGTGGCCTTTTTCCCAAAAATTGTTTGTTGTTTTATGTATGTGGAAATTGATGGTTATATGTTGACTTTGTATTCTGTAACTGTGCTAAATTGACTCACTAACTCTAGAAGGGGTTCCTTTTTTTGAAGATTACTTAAGATTATTTACATATGCAATTATGTCACCTACAAATAAAGAAAGTTATACCTTTTATTTTTTTTTCTTTATTTCATTGGTTTCAGTACAGTGGTAAGAGTGGACATCCTTGCATTGTTTCTGCTCTTAGGGGGAAAGCACTAACTTGTTTACTATTAAATATGAAGTGCTGTGTGCTTTTGTAGCTTCCCCTTATTAGCATAATATATTTTCCTTTCTCTTCCTAGTTTATTGAAGCTTTTCATAAATGCTGTTGAGTTTTACGTCATTTTTGATTTGATAATCATAGGATTTTTCTTCTTTCCTCTGTCAATATGGGAATTATGTTGATTTTTGAATGTCAAAACAACCTTATATTTTTGAGACAAACCCCATGTGGTATTTATTTGTAATATATATTTACTTTAATTTATGAATATTTTAGTAGTGATTGTTGCATCATATTCATAGAAGATATTGTACTATAGACTTCTTTATGCCTTTAGTTTGGGCAGTAGCATAACTTGGGAACTATTCCTCCTTTTCTCCTTATTTCTTTTGTGTAAAATTGGTATTATTTCTTCCTTAAATGTTTGATAAAATTCATCAGTGAAACCACCTGGAGCTGGAGTTTTCTCTGTGAGAATATTTTTAAATAATGCATTCATTTTCTTTAATAAATACAGGACTATTCTGATTTTTCACTTTGGATATTGTTTTTTCTGTTCTAAAATTTCTATTTGGTAACTTTTTATAATTTCTGTTTTTTAATTCACATTCTCTATTTGTCTTCCTTGCATTCATATTTTCCTTTAAACCCTTGAACATAATAGCCATTTTAAAGTTCTTTTCTACTAATTCTAGCATCTTTCTTTTCTTGTTGACTTGTTTTTCTTCTGTTAATGGGTCACATTTTTCTGCTTCCTTACATGTCTAGTAATTTTTAAGTGTGTGCTATACATTGTTATATTGCTGAGTACCCTTCCATAATAAAAGGTTGAAATTTGTTCCATTAGGCAGTTAATTTACATGCTGATCAGCTTGATGCCTGTTTTTGTTAGAGTAGGATTTAAAGCCCTCACTCTAGGGCTACGTTAGCCATACTCTGATGCAAGACATTTCTGTTTATTGTCACAGGGTGTTCAGCTTGGTCTCTTCATCCTAGGTGCACACGTCAAACATCTCCCTGCTCTATGCAAAGTCTCATATTTTTTCAACATATAATTCCAGGGTAAATTTTCTTTCCCAGGTATGATGAACTGGAAAATGGTCCCCCAAATAATAGCCAGGCCTTCTTCCCTGGTATCTGTGTTACCTTATATTCCAGAATTGACTCTACTGATGTGATTAATTTAAGGATGTTTAGATGGGGAGATTATTTTGGATTATCTGGGGGAGACCTAAGTGCAATTAATTATATCCTAATAAAAGGGAGGCAGAGGCTTTTCACCAGGCTGATGCCTTATGGAAGGGCGTACGGCATCTGTCATGTGGGAACGTTGACAGCACAGGGATCCTGGCGGCTCTCGCCCCATAGCCACCAACCCCAGATTCTTGTCATGCAACTCTAGTCCTCTCCATCCTCCCTCCATCAGAGACCAGGATAAGTGGCTGCAAATGAGATTGTGTGCATTGGTCCTTTAAGATGGTGCCTATGTCTCTAGCAGACAGACTCCCATCTCTCCCTGGTGGACAGAATCCCCACTGACTTTCATAGCCAGATGTTATATGGGCGCCTCTTCCTGGCTCTGGTGCTCTGGGCTGGGAAGCCTGTCTTGGAGTTGTGACCCCACACACCTCATGGGGAAACCTCCTGCAGCTGAGCTATCCCTCTGGAATCTCAGCTACTGCCTGTGGGAGTGGAGCCAACCAACCTTTTTGGCATCTCTGCCCTTCCTGCCAGTCTTGATGTGGCCCCTTCTATAATTTTTGGTTATAAGACTTCTCTTCAGCTGGTTTTCAGTTGGTTATTCGGGTTGCTTTCTCTGTATTTTAGTTTAACTCCAGTTTGGTCCTGGAAAGAGATGAATATAACATCCACCTATTCTGCCACCATCTTTGAAACTATTTAGTTTTAAGGTCATGACAGAACAGGCTCTTTTCAAAATTAGAAAGACTTAATATTTGAGATTATCATCTCAACCTGTCAAAGAACAAGGCCATCTTAAAATTATAATATAACTCAGTGACAAAATTCTTTATAACCAAGGTTGCTATATTTTTAAATTTCATTTATCCTTACTAAAAATAAATCATTCTTTAGAAAAGCAAAAATGACATGAAAGACTTCTTTGGTGAAGGTCTCACTATTGCAAATGATATAGTAACTATTTTCTTAATATCCATTGAGCTTTAGGTGTTATTCATACTGTAAGTCAATCTCAACAACTCTTCAGGACATTACATCTCCATTTTATAGATGAAAATGTTGAGGTTCAGAGCCATGAAGATAAAAGCCCAGGTATGACTTGTAAATTTACTTAAAAATGAGTTTATATTTAAGTTAGAGTCTTTTTCTTATTCCAACCAGAGCTTTTTCTTACTATTTGGCATAATAGGTGCTATATTAGGAGCAGAAGATAAATAAAATTAGATAGATTTAACATATGGAAAGATAGATAACGTAGGTAAGCATTCGAGTCTTGACATTAGGTGTAATTTTGTCCAAAAAGCTGAAAATACAGTATCCACATAGTGTTTGCAGAGCTGTTGCAGGATCTTCCAGAGAAATTACATATTGCCATGAGTCTCAACTCTCAAAGAAGAGTAAGAGCCTAAAAAATTAAGTGGCTTTGGCCCTGGCAGGTGTGGCTCACTTGGTTGGTGCATCGTCCCATAAACCAAAAAGTTGCAGGTTTGATTTTCTGTCAGGGCACATGCCTAGGTTGTGGGTTTGGTCCCTGGCTTCAGTGCTTACAGGAGGTCCCCAGTTGGGGTACATACGAGAGGCAACCAATTGATGTTTCTCACTCACATCAGTGTTTCTTTCCCTCTCCCTCACTTCCCTTTTTCTAAAATCAGTGTGTCCTCAAGTGAGGATTAAAAAAATTTAAGTGGCTTTGGAAATAAATAAGATAATGTTAGAATTTTAGTGATGGAAGAATGTCAGAAGCACTGTCAGCATTTGGACCTTCTAAGCTGTGGCTTCTTCCACAAGCATTCAGAAGGGCCAGAAGCCACATGTTGTTGGTTGAACGCACTGAAGAGTACTTTATAGATGTGCTTGAATGAGGCAAAGGCCTCACCTATTTATCTTTGATGTAGAGCATTTAGCATGGTCTCTGGCATGTCTTGGAGCTATTAAAGTAAATATTTGTTCAGTAAATACATACCTCAAATGAATAGCAACAGGAAGAACAAATAATTACAAAATCATTTAGTGAATATTTTCTCTAATAATCATTCATACATAAAAACAGTAACAACAATAGGTTCATTTATACTCTATAACTCTTTCAACAACTAACATTTTTTGTTATATAAAATGCCCTTAGATATTTCAGAAGAGCTGAAGCCCATGTGCTTCACTGTGGCAGTCTAGGTATATTTGAGTAACCCGAACACTGATTTTATTTATATGTATATGTATATGTATATGTATATCTATATGTATATACACACACATGTATGGAGGCAGAGAGAGATGTTGTCCACACAGAAGAAGGCATTGTGACCATGAAGGCAGAGGCTGGAGTGATGAAGTCACAAGCCAGTGAAGGCTGGCTGCCAACAGAAGCAGGAGAAGCAAGGAATGAGTTCTCTCCTCCTTCCCTCTAAAGGAAGGGTGGCCCTGCTGACACCTTGATTTTGGTCCAGCGAACTGATTTCAGACTTCCAGAATTACAAGAGCATACATTTCTATTGCTTTAGCCCACCAATTAATTTGTTACAGTAGTCCTAGGAAACTAATGTATCAAGTAATTGTTTTTCTCCTGGAAATCATTGTTTTTTCTTAACACTATGGATTCACCCTGCACATTTATAGCCTAGTATTCAGCCAGAGATTCAAGGGGACCCAATATGCAGGTACCGAATTTTTTTGTGTATCTCCCTTGTGTGTCAGATATCTTGACCCATGTATTAATATTTCAGCCACCTCTGGGACCTGAACTTCAGTTTGTATCTTCAGTTTAGTGAGACTGGGTGCTCTTTGGGCTTCTGCTCCCTGCTCTACAGTCTACAAATTGCCTCCAGTCAGAAGGTGGGCATTCGTGGAGCTCACTTCATTTGGTTTTCTTCTCAGGCATCACATTTCTGTGCTTTGACTTGTTCACTCTTTCCTGTTTTGTCCTGTTTTATAGTTGGCTGAGGTGGGAGGGCCAGTTAGATACCAGTTACTCCCTTATGTCCAGGAGTAGAATAACCTGCTTTATCCATTGTATAAAAAACCTTTTCTTTATTATTCATTATTTCTGTTTATTCAGTATTTATTATCTGGCACCACTCTAAAGTGTAACCTCCATGAGAGAAGATGCTCTCTTATTCATGGTTGGTATCCCAGCTTCTAGAACTGCCTGACACACAGTTTGTTTAATAAGTGTTTGCTGAGTAAGTAAATGAATGAGTCAGTCTTGACAAGAAACAGGGCTGACTTTCCACCAAAGAAGCCATAAAGGCAAGGTATTTGCTTTTCTATATGCTTCATGGTTGACAGCAGAACTATGGCCAGATATGCTCAACTGGGAGTGGGGTCATGAACTTGTAGCTCAGGAGAATCCTGTTTAGAGACGGAAAACATCCACACCAGCATCCTGTTTCGAAGGCAGCGGTGGCTTGCCTGACAACCCTCGGTGGTGTCCAGTATTTAGCCCTCTCCACAGCAGCAGCAGCGTCATTTTTACTAGGGTAATTTTGTAGCATGACTTTGGTTTTGGGTTGACAACCTCTCCACCATTATTTCTGCCCATTTTCTGGTTCTGTTGATCCAGCTTTCCCAGTGATTCTGTGAGATACCCAGTATCCTTACAAGAAATTCCTTCTCTGCTTAAGTCATCCTAGATCAGCCATTGTTTATAGCTACAAGTTCTTTTAAAGTTGCTTAGGACTCTGACTTCTGGGTATTTAATAAGAACTTGGTGGGAGGTATAAACATCAAGGAAATTTTGCTTCAAATTTGGAAAATCCAGATTTATTATAAGTACTTGAGGTCTTTACATTGTGTATTTATGTAAATTAAATGTAGAGTTTAGAAGAGACTGTGCCTACAGCCTGCAGCTCTTGTCTCCTAATGCAGTTGCTAGACACATTAATCAGTTTTTATTTCTAACCCTAGGTTAGAAATATTACTGTATTTTTAGGTGATTCTACTGGACTTTAAGATCAATTTATTTGAAATCTTGACTTATATTTGCTGTTCTTTGTTCTAAGTAGACATACTATTAATACAGGTTTATTTTCCCGTTTAGGAGCTTCATAATAGAAGAGCAGAGTTTCTTGTTATGTGAAGATCTTCTCTATGGAAGAATGTCATTCAGAGGATTTAATCCTGAAGTTGAGGTATTAAATGTAATTACTTCAAATTTTAAATTTTTCCAATTGAATTCTTTCTGCTAATAATTGGGTTTAGGTTTTTTTCCACCAGGTACCATTCCTCCTCATTATATGGAAAATAACAAGTCTTGAAATACTGCCATAGCTATTTAAAGAAATTGCGGGCGTTGCAGTCTGGTTTTATGGTAGAATTGATCAGCTAATTTAATATAGCAGTAAGCCCCTGACAGTGCCACTGGAAGTGTTAGAATTTCAGCTTGGATCCTTACAGGAATGTTGGGATTTTATTCACATGATGTCATTATGAAAAATTATTTTCTGACATCTATAAATGTGCCTTTTCTAATGGAGAAATGTTTCCTTAAAAATTGAGTGATTTGACTTTTTAATGGACAGGTCTTGATTGATACAAGCTTATAAATAGATTTTTTAAAGAATCCTTAGGGAAATTTGTTTGAAAAGTAAATATTCACCTTATAACTTCACTATTCATTTGAATTTTCCTGCCTCGGGTTTGTAGAGAAGCACAGGCTTTCACTTAACAAATATTAGAACTCTGGTTTTGTACTAAAAGCCATCCTGTCCTGTACTTAAGCAACCAAGTGGAGGTCTGCATGATACAAAGCTTTAGTTTATAACACTTGAGGCCAGGGTTTCTCAGCCCTGGCACTGTTTTTTTAGTTATTATTTTTTTTTTAATTCTCACCCAAGGACTTTTTTTATTGCTTTTAGAAAGAGAGAAAAACAGAGAAAGAAACATTGATGTGAGAGAAACATCAATTGGTTGCCTCCTATACTTGCCCCAACTGGGGATCAAACCTGAAACTAGATTATGCCCTGACCAGGAATCAAACCCACAACCTTTTCGTGTACAGGACGATGCTTCAGCCACCTGTGTCACCTAGCCAGGACAGCCTTGGCACTGTTGACATATGGAGATAGGTCATCGCGGGGGGGTTGTCCTGCCCAATGTAGGCTGTTTAGCAGCATTCCTGGTCTCTGCCTTCTACTCCCTAGATACTAACATTGTGTGTGTACGCACATACTACACACACAATACACACCTCACTTGTAACAACGAACAATGTCTCCAGACATTGCCAAAGGTTCCCTGGTGAGCAGCCTCTTCTGGCTGAAAGCTACTTTTCTAAGGGTGCCTGTAGACTACCATAGCTAACCAAGTTAATTGCCAGAGTTTATTTTAAAGATTATTAGTTTTCTTCCCCTCCCCCCTTCTTTTTGAAGGGGTATGATAAATGTATACAAAATCAACACTAAAAGTATTTGTTTTTAATATATGCTTTCTTTGCTACAGCCTGCATAAAGCTTTAGATTAGGAAAAGAAAGAGGGCAGTGGAGCAAAGGAGGAAGAAAAGCAGAAATAAGTTTGCAATGCCCAAAAACTGGACTGTGGGTAGACAGGAACTCCAAAGTATGTCTGATACATGGGAAAAGGAGTTGATTCAGCCCTGAGAATTTGATGTGAGAGGTCACTGGAAAATGACATTAATTACTGGCACCACTGGGTACATTCTCTCTGGGGGAAAGTTTTGAATTGTTAGACTTGCAGATATGAACTATCATAAAATATGAGCAAGTTTGATTTACCTGGTTATGAAAAGAATGATACTAACTTGAGAGCGTTTACTTTAATATAAGCAGGATGTAATTAGAACACATGTAATATTGTGTGTGTTTCTAGTGAAACCTAGCATAGAGTTTATTTTGTCAGTAAGTGTACAATCCGTGTCTGTGGTGCATCAGCCCCCTTGAGGCACTGAAATGCCACAAGGAGCCCAAGTGTATACCCTCCCAGAGCTCGTATTCCCAAAATTGTTTTATCTTCAGTCCTTTAAATGTTAATTGCGAAGAGCTCATTGAGACTGGTTTCTCGTCAGCTTTTCCTTCCTTGTTCCACCTTTGCTATAAAGAAAGTATTGTACAGTAAAAGTAAAATCTGTCAGAGGGGAACTATCAATTAAAGGTTAATGTGAGAAAAAAAAAGATGGAGGAGAGACCCATGGCACACAGACATCATATGGGATCCATTATCCATCCTCATGTCTGGCGGTTAAGCAGTTCCTCCCCGTTGCACCAGCGCCAGCTTTCCAGTTCTTCCAGCCAGCAATTCACTGCCCCCCACCATCACCATCCAAAAAAAATGCATTTAAAATTTCTCTTGACTGCAATATTTCTTCCATTTGACTCTAAGATGGGAAGTTTGGAGGAAATCTGCAGGTTTACTTTTTCTTTCCCCTACTCACTAGAATGTGTTAGCAGTCTGCTTTATTATTGTTTTAAATAATTTTTTATTTTAAATTACAGTTGATGTACAATAGTATATTTGTTTCAACTGTACAACCCAGTGGTTAGACATTTATGTAACTTAGGAAGTGATTACCTCACTAAATCTAATGCCACTTGACTATATATACATAGTTATTATAATAACATTAACTATATTCCCGATGCTATATTTTACATCCCCATGACTCTTCCATAACTACCAATTTATCTTTCTTAATCTCTTCACCTTTTTCACCTAATTCCCCTCCCATCTGATAATCATCAAAATATTTTTTATATCTGTAAGTCTGTTTCTGTTACGCTTGTTTGTTTATTTTGTTTTTTAGATTCCACATATAAGTGAAATCATCTGGCATTTGTCTTTCTTTGCCTGACTTATTTCAGTCAGCACAGTACCCTCTAGATCCATCCATGCCTTTGTAGACGGCAACATTTTTTGTTATGTTTCAGTCATGTTTCACTAAATATATGCACTATTTCTTTATCCATCACAGAAACATAGGTTGCTTCTGTATCTTGGCTATTGTAAATAGTGCTACAATGAACATATAGATATATGTCTTTTCAATTTAGTGTTTTCAATTTCTTTGAATAAATACTCAAATAGAATTGCTAGGTCCTTCTTTGTCTCTTGTTACAGTCTTTGTTTTAAAGTTTGTTTTGTGTGGCATAAACATTGCTAGCCCAGCTTTTTTGTTTGCTTTTTTCCATTTTCATGAACTATCTTTTTCCATCTCTTTTCTTTCCGTTTGTGTGCATTTTCAATCTGAGGTAATGTAAGGGTCTTGCTTTCATATCCATTCATCCACCACATGTCTTTTGATTGAAGCTTTTAATCCATTGCATTTAACATAATTATTGATATGTATTGTCATGTTATTATTTTATTTTTTTATCTTTATTTTCTTCTTGAAGAAATCCCTTTAACATTTCTTGAAATGCTGGTTTGGTGATAATGAACTCCTTTAGGTGTTCTGGGGGGGGTTGTTTTGGGGGTTTTTTTGGTTTTGTCTGGAAGCTCTTATCTGTCCTTCGATTGTAAATGATAGCTTTGCTGATTAGAGTAATCTTGATTGTAGGTCCTTGATTTTCATCACTTTAAATATTTCGTGCCAATTCCTTCTGGCTTAAGTGTTGAAAAATGAGAGTCCTATGTATGCTCCTTTGTAGGTAACTAACTGTTTTTCCTTTGCTGCTTTTAAGATTCTCTCTTTACCTTTAACCTTTGGCATTTTAATTATGATATATCTTGGTATGAACGACTTTGGATTCTTGTTTGGGGCTCTGCAATTCCTGGAGTTTTATGACTATTTCCTTTACCAGATTAGGGAAGTATTCTGCCATTATTTTTTTTCAGATAGGTTTCTAGTTCCTTGCTCTCTTCTCCTTTGGCACCCCCATGATGTGAATGGTGGCATGTTTGAAGTTGTCCCAGAGAGGCTCCTCATACCAGCCTCTTTTGGGGGGTTCTTTGTTCTCTTTGCTGTTCTGTTTGTTTTCTGCTTCTGTGTCTTCCAAATAGCTGACTTAAACGTCTGCTTCATCTGCTCTACTGTTGATTCCCAGTAATGTATTCTTCATTTCAGTTAATGTATTCTTCATTTCTGATTGGTTCTTTTTATGTTTCCTATCTCTTTGTTGAAGTTCTCACTAAGTTCATCTACTCTTCCCTTAAGTTCATTGATCTTATAACCAGTGTTTGAACTCTGCATCTGGTAAATTGCTTGGCTTCATTTTGTTTTGTCTTTCTGGAATTGTGTTGTGTTCTTTCATTTGAAATGTGTTTCTTTGTCTCTTCATTTTGGCTGCCTCCCTGTATTTGTTTCTATGTATTAGGTTGACCTGCTACATCTCCTGGTCTTGGTAAAGTCCTTATGTACTAGGTATCCTGTGGGGTCCAGTGGTTCAGTCTCTCCAGTCCCCTGAGCTAGGCATTCCAGCTGTGTACCCCATATGGGCTGTGTGCACCTTCCTGTTGTAGCTGAGCCTTGATTGCTATTGGCATGTCAGTGGGAGGGATTTACCCCCAGTTAAGTCAGCTTCAAGGTCTGGCCAAGACCACCATGGACAATCTGCTGTGCAGGAGTCTACCCCCAAAGCAGGACTCACTTCAGTAGGTCTTTGGTGTCCATTGAGTCCACCTCTTGAGTGTGTCAGTCATGAAGGTGGTTAGGTTGTAATTTGGCATAGTCTGAAAGCTGTCCACTGAGTTTTCTGGCCCTGGAGTCTCCCAGAAGGTACAAGCCAAGGTCAGCAGCTTCCTGTGTCCTGTGGGGGCCACAGCATGGATTATAGAGCTATCTCCAGATGACTGTTACTTGTGCTGGGCTTAGAGGAGCCCGGGAGAGGCCAAGCTACAGACCAAGGCCAGCTGCTGCTAATGCTGGTTCTGGGGCCACTTAGCAAGAGGTACAGGGCATGCTGAGGCTGATACTGCTTGTTTGAGAGATTTGGAGACAGTCCACAGCATGAGCAAGGATAGGCCATTTGTATGGAAGAGCCACTGGAAAGGACTTGGGGGAGCCTAAGTTGGGTGGAGTGGGGTCTCAGAATCACCAGGGTATGGAGAACAGTGTTAGCCAGTTAGATGGAGATTCACATAGTGCCCACCTGCTGGTTCTGTTGTGGCGGAAGTTTCAGGAAAGGAACAATGGCCTATGCCAGCACTTCTGTCTGGGAGAAAGCTGCCCTTCTAGCATTCATCCTGAGGCCAGACATTCAGTTCCTCCCCACATGACCCTGAAGCCTTTTGAGCTACTGCCCCATAGCTGAGCTCAGAGTGAGTGAGTCGAAGTAAGTCCATGCATGGGCCCATTAAAAGGAAGGCCTGGAACCCCAAGCCCTTTGTCCACCTCAGCTTTACAGCCAGAAGTCATGGGAACTTTTCTTCCCAGAGTGGGAACCCAGGGGTCAGAGAACTTGGTGTGGAGCTGGGACCCTTTACTCCTCAGTGAGGACCTCTGCAGCCAAGATATCCCTCCCAATTTTTAATCACCACACTTGGGTGTTGCAGTGTATCTGCTTTAGATATAAGTAGTTAATAATAAGATGTATGATCTGAAATGCAATTATAACCCATTAACAAGTCTAATGGAGCTTTGTCTTACTATGTTTTTAATTTAGAGCTGACTTGTGTTAACACATTGTGGAATAAAGTATTACAGAGAATCCCTTATACATTTTTGCCAGTCCTATAGTTTCTGACTTGCTCTACCTTCAAATACATTTGACACTAGTTCCTTTCATAAGCCTTTTTCAGCCCTGAAAGCTACTGTTGGTGTATTTTTCAGAAATTAATGATTCAGATGAATTCTAAGAACAAAGCAGAAGAAGTTGAAGATGAAACAGTGGAGCTTGATGTGTCAGATGAAGAAATGGCTAGAAGGTAAGCGTTACCTTGGAACAGCTTTGTACTGCAGTCCTCTTACACCGTGGTCTGCCCCAGCCAGCAGGAAGATGACTCTTTCTGCTTTCTCTAACACAGCCTGGGGTGGCTTCAGGCCTGTCACAGCTGGCAGTTGAGGGCCTATTTCCAGTGCTACTTCCAGTACATTTTTAAAATATATACTTCCATTTACTTAGAATAACCCAAAAACAAAAACAAAAAAAAAACAGGAGAATTTAATCATTCTTAGAGAAGTTCATAAGTTTTTAACTCAGATGGCTTATCTTAATCATAGTTTTTTTTTAAATAAACATAGTTCTTGTTCTTTGTTGTGTTCTTGATAAGACCTGATTCCTACCATTTTATTTAAAATTAAACTTGTGCTATTTATATCATCTTAACAGATATGAGACTTTGGTGGGGACAATTGGAAAAAAATTTGTCAAAAAAAGAGACCGTGCCAATTATGAAGAAGATGAAAATGGAGATATAAAACCAGCTAAAACAAAGAAGATGTTCCTAAAGCCTCAAGATTAAAATGGATGCCTTAAGATACAGCTCAGGAATGCCTTATGAGTGTTAACATATTTTGGAACTCATTCCAGTGGTTTCTTTATAGTTAGTAATATTGCAATGTTTATTCATAAAGAAATGTATAATTTCGGAAACGTGCTGTTCTTGAAACAGATGTGTGATGGATGTCGTACATCCTTTGTTTAATAGTATTCATCAGTAGTGGGTTTTTAGCCCTCGATCTTCAAATGTACAGAGGTACATGGTTTGCTTCTTAAAAATTTTTTGACCCCAGATTTTTTTAAATAAATCTGTACAGTCACTGACCTTAAATTGACTCATAAATTAATACCTCTTTAAATCATCCTTATGTTTACATTTTACTTTAAATTACTAATAATGTGAAGCCAGTTAATACATTTTAGAATCAACTATCATGAAAATTTATTATATATAAATTCATCAAGAACAAATATGTTTCTTCGGTCTAAAGTACTTGCATGTTACCAAGTCATTGTAAATTTGTAGAATTATAGGGGTGGGGGGTTGATGTTAAAACCTTTAATAAAAAAATATGTTGTGTAATCAGTATCTGTTTTCATATTTTTTTTTATTCTCTATTAATTTCAAGTAATAGATTTAGTCTAATTCAATATTGGAACTTTAAAAAAAATCAGCCACTAATTTAGAATGCGGTAGTTTATTAGATTGAACCATAACAAATTGATTCCTATGGGTCCAAACCAATTATCAGTTTCTCATAATGTAGCTCAGTGGAATTTACCAACAACCAGACCATCTCATAGTCTATTTATTTACTCTAAATAGTAAATACAATAGCCCGTGGAATTTAGTGCATATACGTGTATGTCTCTGTCTGGAGCTATCTGCCTAGGACTTCATTTCATTGTGTTCCTAGCAACTAAATAGGGTATGGGTCTCCTCTCTCTGAATCTCCTTAATTTTTTTTAAATCTTCACCTGAGGATATGTTTTATTCATTGATTTCTTTTTTTGAGAGAGAGGAAGAGAAACAGAGAAAGAGAAACATCAATCAACTGCCTCCCATGCACATTCTGACTGGGACCCCAACCAGTGATCAAACCCACAACCCAGGTATCTGCTCTGACTGGGAATTGAACCCACAACCTTTCAGTGTACGGGATGATGCTCCAACCAACTGAGCCACCCAGCCAGGGCTCTGCATCTCCTTAAATTTTGATTGCTCTGTGACCTCAGCTCTCAGGTGAATTAAAAAAGAAGTCTTGAATTTGAAGTTAATCTGGCTCTTTTTCATTGTGACAGTAAGGGCAATGAATGTTCCCACTCTACATCCTGGGGCAGAAGTTGGAAGTTCTTATCCGTGCTCTGCTAGCACCACAGTCCATTAATTTAGGGAATGTCTTATTCACCCCCATTTTGCACAGCATTACTTTTGATAGGCAAACCCATTTCATAGTAAAAGAAGTGTGGCAATGGATTTGTGCCTCTGGAATTCACTGGTCTTCGTCCATGCCCCACAGACAGGAGCAATAGGTACAATACAATGGTGGAATGGTCTACCTAAGACTCAGTTATGGCCCTAGGTGGGGTACAAAACTCCATCTTACAAAATGTAATTTGCATTTGAATCTGTGACCATTTAATGGGGCTGTTGCTCTGATTGTAGTCGGGATACAAAGTCTATCTGAGAAAGTCCAGCCATTGTTAATATAATGAGAACTGTTTGCAGCATTGACATAATCTGTTTGCAGCCAAGGAGAGTGGACTGGAATGTACTTGCATGAACAATTGATGACTTCACTGTACTAGTCAGTGGAAGGCAGTAGAAGTCATTGAGTGAGCATCTATACTGTGTGGCCCTCACATTCAAAATGACCGAGCTAATAGAGCAACAAACCTGCATCAGATTTTGCATTAAGCTTGAACATTCCTCCTTGAAAACTGTTCGGATGACTCAGAAGGCCGCAGCTATGGACAACTGGTGATTGGCAGCTTCATCATGGCAACATGCCCGCTCACGCATCACATCTCATGCAGTTTTTTGGGAAAACGTTAAATCACCCAGGTGACTTAGTACTCCTACAGCCCAGATTTGGCGCCCTGTGGCTTCTGGCTTTTGCTAAAACTAAAATCACCTTTGAAAGAGAAGAGATTTCAGACTGTCAATGAGATTCAGGAAAATATGATGGGCCCACTGATGGCGATTAGGAGAACTGTGTGAGGTCACAAGGTGCCTACTTTGAAGGAAACTGAGATGTCATTGTCCTGTGTACAATGTTTCTTGTGTGTTCTTCAATAAATATCTCATATTGCATGGCTGGATACCCTCTGGACAGACCTCATATATGGCCTGGAATCAAGCAGAAGTGGGAAAGTGGCTCCTCACTCTTATGCCCAGTAATGCACTCAAAAATGTTTTGTTTCCCATCGCTTTATTTTGAGCTCTGTTTAAAGGTCTGACTTCCCAAGGGAGAAGTGCTCCCACCAGGGATCACAACAGTATTAGGACAGGAATTGAGACAATCTGGACATTTTTGCCACTAAACCAATTGGCAAAGGCGTTTGCTCTCCTAGCTAGTACAGGAGAACAAAGGGGTATTTGTGCTTTTCCTACACAGTGGCTGCCAGAGAATATGTGGAACCCACGGGCATCTTTTAGCACTTCCAAGCTCAGTGACAAACTTGAATGGGAGAATAGAACTGCCTCAAACAGGCAGGAATGATATAGACCCCCTCTCTTTTCATCCTCACCTGAGAACATGTTTGTTGATTTTAAGAGAAGGGGAAGGAAGGGAAAGGGAAACATTGATGTGAGAGAGAGAGAGCTGCCAATCAGTTGCTTCTCATATGCACCCTGACCAGGGATAGAACCCACAAACTCAGTTTACAGGCCGATGCCCAATCCACTGAGCCACACTGGCAAGGGCTGATTTAGACCCTTTAGGCCATGAGGTTTGGGGTCACCTTACAAGGTATAAACCCTGAGCATCAGAGATCCTGGCTGAGGGAAGAGGAAACATGGAATGTGAATAGGAAGAATTAAGCTTATTAATTAGTCTTGTGACCAATTGCAAGTCACTGAGCAGTTATGCATAATTTCTTCCTTGGTGTGTGTACTAATTTCTTCTATTTCTCTTACTGCATATGGGATTCAGAGGGTTACTTTGCTATTTAGTCTTGAAATAACTATATTCAAATGGGCCTGTGACTAAGTTCTATGTAGGGTAAGTTACATGGTCAAGAGATGAGATGAATAGTGTGACTGTTTCCTAGAAACTGCCATGATATCTGCTGGCACTTTGTCTCCTCATTTTGGAGAAAGGGTGAGAACATCTTTTATACAAAGGATGATTGCAACTTGTTAAGTAAAAATAAAGAGTTGTTTTTCTTGTGGGAAGTTGAATTAGGTTTAGAAGTGCATGCATGTGGATGCTGATTGGCCCAAGGAGACAGACTGTAGTAGATAATTAACTTGTTCCTCAGACTCAAACTCACCCTTCCATACAGCTTTTGGTTCTGGCCTGGGATTCAGCAAACCCTGTTTCTCCTCTCCCAGCTGCCTCCTTATTGGGATCGGCCAATGGAGGCCCAGATGGAGATGGCAAGGCCAGAGGAGGAAGGAGGAGCTTGGCCCTTTCTGTCTGCTTCTTTCTCTTTGCTTCCTGTTCCTTTTGTCACCCCAAGACACCTCTTCACCCCAGCAGACACTGGTGTTTCAGTAACAGTCATTGATACCCACCACTTAGTGCTCCTTCCTCAAGTGTCTGCCCGGTACCCTGGCCTGTAGGACTCCTCCCTCATTCAGCTCAGGAGCTAATATTAACCTTACCTTGAGTTTCAGCTCTCTGGGGTCTCTCCAGGCTCCTAAAGTTGAACAATTTCATTTTTTTTCCCCTAAGAGTGACAGCTTCTTGAATGATTCCTTAAAATGTTCTCTTTTTGCTTTTTCTGTTCTTTAATACCCAATTAACAATCCCTTGTATTGAATTTCCTCTGCTGAAATAAGGGAGGCTTTTATCTCCTGACTAGATTTTGACTGATAAAGAGCATCTGTGAACTCATGGGTTTGGTGGGCTGCTTTTTCTAATCTGTGTTCAAGTTTACAGCTATTAAAGTAAAAGTGTTCAGCCCTTTACAGCTTCTTGGAAGTTATCTCATGTAACCAGTAGTTAGTATGCCACATTGTGGGAACCACTGCCCCAGCACAATAACACCCATTGACTTGGTTGCTTCATCATTCACATTCATCTCCTTACTTGTCATGCTACTGTCCTCAAAGGTAGGGACTGTACCTTTTTTCCACTTGCCCCTGTGCCTAGCAAGTAATGTGGCTCATATTAAAGCTTTCAGTAAATATTTCTCCAGTGAATGAACAAATTAATGATAGTTAAATGATTTGGAAACCAATTGGCCTGCAAAGCCTACTTAAACCACAGTGCTTCCCTGGCTGGTGTGGCTCAGTGGACTGAGTGCAGGTCTGTGAAATAAAAGGTTGCCAGTTTGATTCCCAGTCAGCACATGCCTGCAGAGCAGGCCAGGTCGCCAGTTGAGGACGAGAGAGAGTCACTGTATCTCTTGCTCACACATCAATGTTTCCCTCTCTCTCTTGCTTCCCCTATCTCTAAAAATAAATAAGTAAAGTCTTTAAAAAAATAAATTTAAACCACAGTGCTGTGGAAATAAAGACTAACCAAATGAGGAAAAGATTATTCAGTGCATTCCATATACCAAGGGAGTCAGCCACCATCATTTGCGTTTTGGCAGAATCAAAGGCAGAGGAATGGGAAAGCCTATTGTGGAAAAAAAAAGAAGGCCTCAGGTATGTCTTGACTGAAGGCTGTTGGCATGGTGGAGCTGTAGGCAGCTAACTAGAAGCAGGGTATACTATGTGATTGGTTGGAGATGCATATCTGACCTCTGGTTGGTCCTAAGATGGAGGTAGAGACAAAACTTAGAGAAGGTGTCACTTATTAATAGATCCTTATCATTTGGGGCCTATTGTTGTAGAAGTTATTGTTTAGCTTCTTAGATTGTCCCTGGAGATTCCATCTGGCCTCCTACAAGGCTGACTCTCCAAGTTTGGTGGAGATAAAGAGTTGGTTTCTTGGACAGGTTGCTGCAGGTTATGGGTCAAAGTTCTATTTTTATAGATAGCCTGGTCATTGTTTGTATATTCAGTCTCTCAGTGCTTAAGTTTATTTCTAATCATACTATAAAATACAGCTGTTAGATCATGATTTGTAGAAATATGCAGTCCATTTCAGAAAACGCCACTGGTGACATTAGGGATATTCGTGGCTCCAACCAGTAGTGGAGGAGCTGCCTATTATTCTGGAGGCAGACACTTCAGCAGTTAGTGTCGCAGAAACAAGGCCACCAAATCAGGTCATTGAAAAACTCTTGCTATTCCAGATCTTGGGGAGGAAAACTGAATACCACTGGCTAATGGATAGAGAATTCAATTTAACAGATAATCATCATCTCATCATCAATTCACTGACATTTATGTTGGTTGATGAACTTTATCAAAGTGAGCCATTTGGGGAGGGTGAGAAGATGTAGCAATAACAGTTTCAAGAAC